CCAAGTTTCATCAAAATCCAATGAGTGGTTCTTTAGATAGCAGTGGAACAGACGACACACATACACACACACACACACACACACATACATACAGACAAACTAACTGCAAAGACTCGCATTGTGTGCTTGGCACATGGGGGTCAATCACTAAAATTAAATTATATTGTTACCAACAACAAAGACACCAGAAATCCATTTTTGGTTCAAAATGCTGTTTTAATCACAATTGACAAAACTGCTACAAGCAGCTAGTGAGCACTAACATTACATGAGCACTTTAATGCAACAAACAAGTGACATGCGTTCAATGAATCAAGCAACGCATACAACGTACACTAACCAATTTTGCTCTGTGCAAATTCTGTTACAGAATGAATAGACGAATGTAAACAGTCAAAACAAGTAAACTAATAAAAGCATAAACATGTACAAATGATACTTGATAATTATAACACAGGAAATGTTTGAGACTGCAACTAATCTATATTGGACTCAATCCTACTATAAAACATATTTTAACTACTGCAGAAAAAAAACATATCATATCAATGATGCTAACATGGATAACCCAAAACGCTTTCAAAAATACACATGTATAATATACGAGTTTCAATTATTATATTTAGTTATGTTGACAGAACCTTACCTACTATAACAGCCACAAATTAAGAGAAAGTGCATGATATATCAGCATTGTTTCACCTCAGGTGGACTACATTTTACATGCTGCAGATTACTACATGCATGTAAAGTTGGCCATACATGTGCAAAAAAAAAAATAACTATATTTATGCAGTACAAGTTATTAATATAATATTTTATTTTAAGTTGTCCATGTAGTGGTATAGAATATCTATTTGGAAATGTTAGAATATTAAAGTGACAAGTTACAAATCAAGCTCTCATAGATCACTTACTTATAGTAAGTTCAATGCTATTACACCTGTGTATGTTGTCTCTAGACATTGCCAAAATCACGACAATTTGATAAAGCAAACGTAAATCTCTCCGAAAAATCTTCTATGCAGCTGAAATTTCTAGGTAATCGCAGAATATTGGCACATGTATTTGAGCTTGGAACAGTAGAGTTTGTGATAAATTCTATGGATGGACTTTCTGTGAAACCTAAAGGGGGAATTGAATGAGTGCCAGTGAAAAATGCGAAAATGTCACCAAGTGTTATGACTACTTCTATGGGTTGATTATCACTCCCAGCAAACGAACATGTCTTCTGATTACCTGTTAAGACAAAATGTAAATGAATGTAAGATTGAGGTTCCACTTGTCAAATTGTGATATCATTTAGCATTATAATAAATAATAATACTTTATTCTCAGTGGGAATTGATAACGAAAATCTGATATACAACTTTTCTCGACAAATTACATGGACAAATTTCAATGAAGTCAGTTGAAAATTGGCAAATGTATCGGTATTTAGATTTTTTAAATTCATAGGCAAACTAGGTATAGACTAAAGTGTCAAGTATTACATCCCAGGGGGGATTGACACGAGAGGGTGCCATTCGTCCTGAATGAAAAGTTCAAAGTCAGTCGTTCGTAGCTCATCGTCTAAGCTACTACCTTTTACGAACATATGAAACCATTTCAGCGATTTCTTTACAGCATAAGGCCAAAAAAACAAACTTATGTTGCCCTTAATTCGGAAAATTGAAAAATTGGGTCAGTCGGTCAGATTTTTTTTTTTAAACTCGTGAAAACTAAGGGTATCGTAAATAGCCGAGGTATATGGGAATCAATGCAAGAGACGTGTTTGCTCTTCAGACTTCATAGTATTCGGAACATGTAAGAGAAATACAGATCAACCCGAGGTTCAAAGTCGCCCTTATCCCCCCCGGGACCCTGGGGTTCAAACAACAGTCTGGACACTTTTTACTGCTCAAAATGTTGAGTTTTTAATATATATAAAAAAAAATGCGACCTGATATTTCAGACCAAGTTCTACACATGATTTTATTTCATTCAAAATTGTTCCATTTCAAACTGCACATGCACACACACACTGTGGTTTCTCGAAATGCATACTAATTAGGTTACTTGTCAGAGACACAAGTCACTGAAAATATTTTGAGCAAATTTGTACAATAGTACTTGAGTGAAATATAAACATTCCTCTGCATTCTCCATGAATTTCATAGGTTGCTATGATCAGCGTATAGAAAAAACCTGTGGTTACTTCAACAGTTTGCTGGAGTCTGGTAAAAATTGTGTCTCAAAAAACACCTTTACATCAGTTTTTTGATTATTTTTTCAGCTCGTAAACATAGAATCACTCAATTTAGAACTATCATGTATGCTTTCGGAAAGCATTTTGGCACAAATTTACTGAAAAAAACGAGTTTTCCATTGCCCATTAATTATGAATTATGCAAATGAGACATTTATTTTGACCAATTGTGTCATGGAACTCCCCCCCTCCCCCCGTAATTCACCTTATCCACAGAAACAGTGACATAGAAAAAAAGCTTAAACATTTACAGTACATGTAGATTACAACATTTTGTAGTTGTCTAACCTTTAGCACATTCATCAATAAATTCAAACCAATAGTAGATGGTAGTTTCTTCTTCTATCCTTTTATTTGAGCCACTTGGACTATATTCCACATGGATTGATTTTAAGTAGTCAGCTGATGGGAGTAGCTTTTTACTCAAGCACATGAAGTGCTCCATAGATCCTAATTTAAAATAATAAAACATAGTAAAAACCATGAGGGCATTGCCCTTGTTCAAGCTTCTCAGAGTTTCATGTTATAACTTCTTTGGAATTAACACTTTCTTTTGATACACTATGTGTAAGCTTCCCTCACATTTATAAAATCATTAAAACTGGGGAGGAGATTACCAATTTGGATTGGTGGCACATAATTTGTGATTAAAAAACAAAATACAGTAAATAGGCTTAAATGTGAATGTACTGTTTAACAAGAACAGCGCTGGTAAATGCCTTGGTTAAAGCAGAGTGTAAGATCAGCTATGGTTTACAAGGTATTACAAGGGGGCTCATAGCAGTGCAATTCAGAATTGCATATGGATAAATGCTAGGTCAAAGGATGCATCTTTTCAGTCTCTTGTGAAATGTTTACAATAAAGCACCGGTTGAATGTCTCTATCTGCAATAGTGCTCCAGATATGATAGTTATGCATTTTTAATTAGATTACATAACCATATACATGTATGGTCAATAATTTAATTGGTCATATCTATCTGCAATAGTGCTCATCTGCCAGTAAGAACTGTTGCCATACCCATGTTAACGTATAGGAATTTTATAAGACGTATTTTCATCAATATCTTGAAAACTCCTGTCCAAGATTTCATGGATGTGAATAATATCGGAAAGCTTAAAAGTAATCAAATCAAAACTAATCAAGTTATTGCGACCAGAAAAAAGGTCTATGACGATGACAGTATTGTCTCTAATACTTTGTCCCTCAATATTTATTTTGGACAAGGCAAAACCAAACTTAAAATGTATATGTGTAGACTAGAGAGAGATATGCAAGGTAAATCTTAAAGTTTGACCTAAACATTAAACCAATAAAACAATCTTTGCACAGCTGGGTTTCTTAATACATTAAGCAGTTACCTATGATTTGTATGCATATTACACATTTAAATTAACTTGAGCAATCTGCATTTGAACTTTGCAAGTTGAAATTAGTTGTAGAATTAACTTTTATCACACAGCTACAGAAGCCATAAAAAAGTAGGATGTTAAATATTTATGCATATCACCTCATTAATATACAAGTTTGAGGTAAATTATTCGCAACTTTTCATTTTCATCCCCATCCATACAGTGTGTCCAGTGATAGACACCATCGATTACCAAACAAGTTTGAGCACCCTCATCACCGATGTTGAAAATTTTAAGAGCAACTGTAAACTTACCTGGTTCGGCCTTTACCAAGTCTGCTATGTGCAGAACATTCATTCCATCTAAAAATTGGTTTATCTCAGGTATGGATTTATAAACACAGTGATGTGTAGTGAGATTTTCAAGAATGGGAGCCTTCATATCCAATGTAATTGTACTCATCGGATCTGTAAATCCTGTGATATTAGCGACACTTTCTTCTCCAATACGCGATACAGCTATTCTGAGTTCCTCATTAGTCTCACTAGACTGGATCTGCATAGGATATAATACAAGGTTATATAATAAGTCATGAAGGACATTCCCCGAGAATTATCAAATTATCATGACCATTGTAGTTGCACTGCAATTCTCAGACATGCACAGGTGAAGCAAGGCCCTCCCTCCCCCATCATCTATAGTAAAAGACTATTCACACTAACTAGAAGCTCGATAGTCTCTTAGGGAAAGATACTATTAATTTATATTAGTTTAGTTCCATGTATATATTTCCATTGCGAGATGTATAGAGTACTTGTTGGCATGAAATAGGTCAATACACACAGTGGGTATGAAAAGTGAAAATAGCTAGTTTTGTTTGACACATTTTTAGCATTAAAATGGCTGTCTTACCTCTATCTTGAATTGGATCATGAAAAGTATATACATGCATATGAATCCCAAATGTGGTTCTTTTACAGACTGGGGTGGACTGGAGGACAGACCAACAGACAGGCATACAAGAAGGGTAACTTGCAAAGACTGCACATGTGTTTCACGAATAAGACTATAAATCTCACCTGTTTGGCTATCAGCTGTATGTCATAATCTGGAATTTCATCAATGGCTATCGGTTGTTCTACACACCCTCTTGCCATATATTGGAATGTTGCTTGGCTCAAACAGTGTAATCCGGGACCACCATGGCAAAGAGATATAGCAACCATCTTTCCTGCAGTGAAATATCTTCTTTCAGCAAGAAAGCGCAAATCATGAGAAAAGCTCAGATTGTTTTCCTTGCCTTCAAGCACGCCACAGGTTTTTACAGAATTTATTAATAAACTACAAAATTCCCTTCTGGGCCCCCCATCGTCCACTGCACTTTCTCCAATGAATGACACTTTAATTAATTTGTTTGGGAGGAAATCTGGTCGATTTATGGCTCTAACAGCAGTTTTCCAGAACGTTGACCTTAAAATATTCACACGTTGATAGTCCTGATCATCATAATCATCACCATTGTCTTTATTGTAGTCCATATGTATTCGATCCACCACATGGTGACTTAGTAATGTGACAGCATATTCCAGAGTACATCTATAAGAATATAAACATAAATAAAGTCAAAGCAATATATAGTGATTCAGTCTGATCTGTTTTTGCTAATTTTGTTTTTAATAAAATGGATCATAAAATGATGTTACTGGTATGATTTGTGAATGAGTAATGAACTTAGAGTTTTGTCATTTTTAGTCATTTGCATATTCTAATAGACACATTGTATGAATCATCGTTGATCAGTATAGTGGTTTTCAAAAATAAGTTGAAAACATCAGTGTTGACTAAATATGACATAAATAATTGCCAAAAACTGAAAATTGAACATACCATCCAAACTGTCTACATATAAAATCTTGAAGCATTCATGTGAGCACTTTCCATGATAAAGTTGAAAATAACATTTTTGGCCATGAAATAAACAAATCTGACAGTGATTTACACAAGGTATCTACATATCTAGAAATTGGACTACCAGAAAATTTTAGTCAAAAGCCTCAAATTGTTGATGGATAACAACAGATAATGACTTATATGACGTACACCTGCGCACTGTCATCTTCGATGACAATGGAGCTAATAAACCTCAAAACTATCTGAATTAATATTAGTGGATAAATGGCTCAACCAAATCTCTGCCTACCTTGGGTACAATGTAGAGTTGTTAGCCACTGTGTTTTCTTCTTCTGCAACATTATCTTCTTGAGATTCAATACACCCTGCACTATCAAATATCTGTGAGTAACTCCTATGAATAATAAAATCAATTAATCTACACTGTACAATATGACAATATTATTATTGTGCTATTAGCAACATTTGCTTGAATAATGAAGTTGGTCTCAGGTCAGAAAATTAATTAACTACTTTAATGAATATAAATAAACTTTGACTCTCCTGGAAACAAGCTATAATTTTTACAAGCCGGTAGGCTGGTTGGCGATCCGCTCCGCTCAAAACAAGCACCATGTTTTTGGCTGTTTCCATGGTGTGACATAAACGTGAAGCTAACGTCGGTTTATAACTAATACGAAGTTCGCAAACACCATTCAGTTTTTGGAAGTCACTTAGTTTATTACTAGGACAACAATCACTCTCCTAGTCCAGTGACTGTGCTAGGACGTATTCTGCTGTTACATTTATTATTTCCAACCGTTTTGCGATAGCATTTTCTAGAATGAAGCGTTTCCTGTAAATGCTGGAAAGCGAAATAATGAAATAACGAGATGGTAAATATTTACCTAAAGTACAGTGTGTTGACCTTCATAAAAATATACTTCATAATGCAAAACATTAGTCACGGTGAGTTATTTAAATATACGACTCCTAATCGAAAAATATGACCACAGTCCAGAATTTCAGACGGATATTAAGAAACCTAAGAGCATATCAAAAGCATTTACTCTAAAATATAAAAAAGAACTGCAGTCAAAAGTCAAGAATGCCAGCAAATAAAGGACTCTGTCCCACAATCCTTTGTGCGCGTTATTACGGACACGCGCAAAAAACTGTACCACGCTTGTCAAATTTGGGTCAAATATACAGTACGCTACTATCTTGCCACAGTGGAGTGTTCGGTGACCATTGAATTAGCCCGTGATTCATATTTTATGTGTATTAATTTACAGTACTGCCCAAATTTTAGCCAAAAAAACGCAACTGGTGAAACGGAAGAGTATTGCCAGGTGATGGACTCGGGGCTCTTTGGCGACGACCGCATAGAGGTCAAAATACGCGTTCTATTTTTACGCGTTAAATATGGCTCTTCCATTTCGCCCCCTGGAATGTTCTACTTTCACAGCCTAATTGCAGGTTTTTCGAAAAACGTCGAAAAAACACAAGAATTAGTAGAAATGTTCCTGTTTTGGGCGGATTATTGATGGAGAATAATGTCTTTATTACAAAAATGCTGAAAAACCGTGAGTTGTTGCCTTAGTTATTTTTTTATTGGCGAAAAACTGCAAACTCGGCAAATTTGGTTGCACAACTTCCCTTTATCATATACACCCAGCGACACCGATAAAACTGGTAGGAGGTAATACATTTGGGGCGAAAGTATTCAAAAATCAGTTTTTGGATGTTGCAATGGCAATGGTGGGCCAGGATTGTTTTCCAATTAGTGACGGCACGACCTACCTGTGAAGTATGAACAAAACCGGCCAAGCCGAAACAATCACAGAGGAGTTAAAAGCCGTTGCTGGTGAAAAGTTACCCCAACTTTAGGGTCAAATTTCTCGGTAATGAAAACAGATATCAAAAATTCAAA